AAAACTCAACTAAACTAAAAAAAAAAACGAGGCGAGATGGTGCCCCTTAGGAGACTCTGGGTTTAAAGCTCCCGTCGGTGACCTCGTGATGAATTAAAAAAAAAAACTCCGTGATGGGCCCCGGGAGGCCCAAGGGGGGAGAATGGCCCCATGCCCTCCTCTGGATCCGCCACTGAAATGATCTGACCCAAGATCTTACCTAAAAACGACCAAAAGCCTTCCTTCATTGTCCGAAAACCGCTGACAGTTGATAGCTCAATGACACTACTGCCGTGCGTAAGGAGGCGTGAAAACACTTCCTCATCTCGATCTATTACGAGAGGACCATGTCATGGCGTGAGAAAGGTGTTCTCAAAATAGACGACACTGTATGAATGAGTAAATAATTCGCGCCCCGTTGGGCTATTGGCGGACCCTACCACCTGATGGGGTGGTGCAGCCGTGCGTCCTCCACCTGAAATCTCGGAAAGTTACCGACGATTTTGAAAATTTGAAGAACGTTCGATAGCCCCACCAGGGGCTATCGAACCTTGTTACCAGGTTTCGTTGACCTAGGTGCAACCCATGACGTCACAAGTCAGGTCAAGGTTGCATTTTTTCACCGATTTAGTCAAAGGAATGCGTTACAGTCAGTTAACACATCAAATAAAAGGCATGTTATCGAAAAACATCGATGGAGCGTGGTTGCCCAATACATATGTTGCCTAAAGAGGTCACTGATGCCAGGTCACGTCAAAGAGGTCAGGTCACTAAGGGTCACAATATGAATTATGAACCCAACTATGCTAATTGCTAGGGTCGCGTGATACATGTTTTATAGTCAATTTTACATTTAAAATTCAATGGTGTGGGCTAGACGGCCATTGGGGCCGGTTTAGATTACGTTCTGGTGGAGGTCAGGTCAAGGTCAGGTCAAAAAAGGTTAAATCTCAGAGTTGATATTTTGCATAAAAGGGGTATCTATTCGATGCAGCTCATCACGGGAAATCCAATGGTGGTCTTTGGCTTGCTCTGTGTGTTCTGTGACGGCTAAAATTGAGTTTGAAAATTTTACGTAATACATTTTGAGTAGTGTTTTTTTTTTTGCCATAACTTTGCTGACAATGGAGCTGTCGAGTTTAAGTTTGGTATAGGGTAAATGTGGGGAAGACGCACCCCTGGGTTAAACGCCTCCCCTAAAAAAATCGTATTTCTTATCGACGGATAGGTGTTTTATCCTTTTTTTTCAGAACAGTCAGCTGCTTGTTTACGTAGGTCTCTATTTCCGGTTCTGCGTCTTGAGGAGCAGCGTGGGTAGCTGCTGATGTTGGTTTTGGGTGTTGTTTTTGTTGTTTTTACAGAAGATTCCTAATATTTTGATGCCTTCTTTATATCACAAAACTTATTATTGTGCACATCACTCAAAACTGCGTTTTATTGTCATTCTGTTAAATTTATTGTGCTGGGGCGTTAGTGGCGCGTTTTTTGTCAATATTTTGTTGACCGGAAATGGAGTGGATGGGGAAAGACGCCTACTCGATGCATGGGGCAAGACGCCCCCAGTTTTCTGAAAGGGGGGCGTTTTGCACGGTGGTAAGAGTGCAGGGTAGCGCCCTGTAGGTCGGGGCCGAAAAGGCCTCTCCCTGTCCTTTTTTGCTGATATATCCTAAACGACTGTAGATATCGTCACCAAACTTTCAGGACTTCTCCGGGTATCCATTTTACACATTGTAACAAAATTTTATTCCAAAGGCTATGATAGGTTGACCACAAATGACGTCAGAATGACGTCAAGTTCTGCCATGTTCATCATGTTCTGTTGATTGATATGGTGGGGGCGCTTTGCACATGGGTGTGGGCGTATTGCCCAGGGTGTGGGGCAAAACGCCCTTTTGTAAGGGTATACGAAAACCTTTTTGGGGGTTAAATACCACACGCAGGTGTCTTTTCTTGGTCTCAAAACGTAGTAAAAAGAATGAGCTACATGATGGTGCCCAAAGGTTTGAGTAATCTGTGTTGGATTGAGTGTCAGCAGGTTTCGCGCTTAAGGGGGGGTTTTTTGACCTATTCACCCTATCTAGAGCAGATAGTTCTATAACATATATTCCAGCTTTAATTTTGAATGTTGTTGGTATTTTCGGGGTGTTATATTTCTATAGTTTTGATGGTCGAAATCAATTTTTGTTTAGAAATCAGAGTTGGCAGTTTTGTAGCGCTGTTTATTTTACATCTTTTTTATCTTGAATACCTATTTTTTGTTATCTTCAAAACTGTATGCGTGACAGCTCTTCCCGCTAAACCTTTTATTGGGTGGAAAATGACAGAACATGACGTCACTCTGACGTCATTTGTGACTAAGCTTTCATAAGAGCTCTGGAAAATTTGGTCACAAGGTGTAAATGATGCCCGGAGGGGTCTTGAAAGTTTGGTGGTGAGTGGTGACCTACGCTATACTTTAGGAGATAATCGACTGAAAAGGAGAGAAAGGCTGTTTCGCGCCCCCCTCCCCCCAACGGGGCTCGAGGCTTTCAGTTGTTACTCTCACATAACTCTCGGTTATATTACAATGTAGTGGAATTGCAAGCTTGGCAATATAAGCTTCCTGCCAGCGCCGGACCCGACTTTAACCCTATTAGTGGCAGGCTCCTGGCTACCCCTATTAGTGGCAGGGGGGGGCTGTTTACGACCCCCCCTTGATATCTCGAGATCTAACGGGCCGATTTTCAAAATTCAAACGGCATTCGATTTCGCTCAACGTGATCTACATTTCTAAAAAATAAAAATTGAAAAAATGTCAATAGGGGGGTAGAGGGGGGTAAAAACGGGCAAATTGCAGATACATTTTAGACTGTTTATCACGGCCAGGTTTCTGAACCAATCTTAACGCAACTTTTGCCGATCGATAGGGAATGAACCAGGAATTCACATGGATCCTAAAAATATACATTTTCAAAAATCATAGGCGGATACAGATCATTGAGATTGGGGGTACACAAAAAGTATAGTAAATAGGGTTTTTGTTGGTACTGTTTCTAAAAAGGGTGGTAATGGTCTTGTTATGTTACAATTTTCTTATGAGAGAACGACTACAATTGTATTGGTCATGCATAGGCGGTGTCAGGGCACCTATGTTGGGAGGTAAAACATAACCCCCCTTTTTGGACGCCTGGATCCGCCTATTATAGCAAAAACGTGTCAAAAGAGGATGCACAATAACTGTATATGTTATCACATGATACCTTTCATTCACTGTTCGTAAAACTGGTGCAGCATCGTGATCTTCGCCCAAATGACTCGCTTCACGAATAGGACCCCCCAATTCCCAGTGCTCTGGAGTCGCCCCTGGTAAAGTTATGAACTTGAAATTTTCAGGGAATGTGCCCAATTTAGTTTTAGGAAAAGTCAGAAATTTTCAGCATCGTAGCTTCAGCGGCTTCGGAGATATTCCCGAAAAACCTGAGGGGTGGATAAAAACAACCCCCCCCTGCCACTAATAGGGTTAAACATGCAGGCTGAATTTTAACATTTGACTTTTAAATTTTTACCGTCGAGCTTTTTAGAAGTTGCATGAACTGTTCAGCTCCTTTTTTGGTCCACCACAGCGGGCTTGTATGTCATTTGTCAATCAAAATCGAATTAAAAACTTTTTATTGGGTCTGGTTATCTCGCCAACTTCTTAACTGAATCGTTTAGTAGCTTTTGATTGGGCACTGCCGACGTTGTCTGTCAAACTTTTCGTGTCAACGAGAAGAGGCTGCTGACATCGTTTGTCGCGGTTAGATAATACCAATCCACGTCTCAGTGCGGCTGCTCGATCGCACTTTCCCTGGCCCACCTCTCCCACCAGGCTAGGCTTTGCCCGGCACAGCCGTCGCCTCAGTGCCTCGGGCGGTGGCCCGTTCAAAGGGGCTCACAATTCGTATGGTGCCGTGGCTCTCAAACCAACACAGTGAAATGCACAGGCTTACCTTCCATATAAGGCGAACGGCTGATTCTGGAACCGGGGCTTCATTCATGCTAAAGCGCCCAATCACAGCGTCGCATTTCAGTTAGTGTCGGGCGCAAAAGCTGCTATGCTCCGCCCCTCCATCACGTGACCCTGCCCTCACGTGGCCTCAGTCACGTGGTGTTTCCACTTCTTGGCGCATGGCGGCGCTAGTCTCGCAAGGGCGGTGGTAGCTTGCTCCCCCGCCGTCCGGGGGTGATGGGTAGCAACTGCTGGTGACTGTACATACCTATCTCCTTCTTGCGGCCCTCAGTAGCCAAGTCAACTCTGTTGGTTTGTCCACTAACAAGCACCCCCTATTTCCCTCTCCTCAGCCCCGTCATTGATTCGCACAACTGCCTCGACCTTCCGTCAGCAGAAAACAGTCGGAAAGTAACGAACGAACACCGGTCAGCAAGGAGCCATCGATCCAACGTGAATAGTGCAGCAAATCGGGACGAGCTAGCCGCGGCCGCTGATGAGCTAACCAGCACACAAACCGACACAAACATACACATACAAAACGACACAAACATAATAGCTCAGACGACTGGAGCCTTCTGCAAGGACATTAGAGCCCTGACTCTCAGAACAAATTGGGAATACGCTTGAGATACTTTTTTGACGAAAGGAGCTCATTCAAGGCCACTTGGAGGCGGCCTTTGGAGCATATGGGTAACTCAATAGTCAGAGATTTTACGATGGAAGAAATTAAATTGTTTTTGCGGACAGAAATAAAAATATGTTGAATCCAGCACCAATTCCTTCATGTAGGTCTTACCGTGAGTTCCGACACCAATTTCTAATTTTTTTTTCATGTACTTACTCATAGGTTTTATTTTAATTTCATCCCCTAATCCTAACTCTTGCCTGCAGTTCTGGTACGAGCTTTTCACGTACTCGTAGTACATTTATTTTACCTTGAGTTCGGGTACGAGTTTTTTATGTACTCCCTCCCAGCTCTTACCTTGAGTTCGGGTACGAGTTTTTTCATGTACTCGTAGTCGGGCGGCAGGGTGACCCGCGGTCGGAAGGTGGGGGAGCGCGGCTGGGGCGAGGCAGCGCCGGATGAGCTCGTGTTGCCCATGCTGCGAGAAGGCATCTGGGACCTGCGGCGGCGAGACAAAGGGTCAGTCGGGACGGCACGTAGGAGTATACAAAGGGGAAGGGGTCAGGTCATTCAGGGACAGTCCTGCAAAGGAGACACATAAAAGGGACGGAGTTAGCATTGACAGCCCATGAAACAAGGACACGCAGGGCAGAATTGGGTCTGCAGTGATGACTGAGGGAACGGGAGTGGTTTATCTGTAACAGTGGGGAGGGTTTCGGGGCACAATGGGTAGCCCTGTGAGTGAAGACGAACTGTGACAATGGAAGGAGCGCAATGTGCCGGAAGAAGCGGTTGCTTGTCACTCTATCAATGGAAGTGGTCACACTCCAAGGGCGGATCCAGCCGGCCGTCTTGGGGGGGGGGGGGGGCAACCGGTTGGGACTAGCCAAACCTAGGGTACCCCCAAATCTAGTTTTCTCACCGGTTTTAGGCCACTTATTTTTCACCCTTCGCCTTTTCATCGAAAAAAAAAAACGAAACGAAAACATTTGCAAAAAGTGAGATATTTTGTCTCAGCTGAGTCAAGGAACTACCTTTTTGGTAACGTAGAATAAAGGCTTAACCCGCGCCCTGCTGGGGGGGGGGGTGTTTGAACACCCCCCCTTGTGGTTTTTCGCGAATATCTCAAAAATGGCGGCGCGGAGCGCCGCCGTTTTTGGTACACCTTATCATACATCAATTCTACACATGTTGTGAAAATTTCAGACCAAGGTCATTCAAGGTCAGGTCACCAGGTCACTTGAAGTGACCTCACCTCATAAAAACTTTCAATGTCTGTCATAGCTACACCGAGTGACCGATCGCTTTGAAACTTTCAGCGATTGCTAAGAGCAATAGCATGTACAAAATGTATATCTCAGAATTTTGATATCGATGACCTAAGGTCAGGTCAATTTTGCGACCTCCCCATTATAAGTCAATGGGAGAAAAATGAAATGCGCCTCTTTTGGATGAAAGACATTATAAACACTCCCAAACACCGAATTACAAGTGGTTTAGACACACTGAACTTGAAAATGTTGTCCGTGACCCTTGTTTATGCCCTGAGGTCATCTTAGGTCACGAATGGTATCTAACAGTTTTTCGCAAATAACTTTTGATAGAGGCATGCTAGAGCGATGAAAACGCCTTAGATGTGTTCAGCTCGACGATACGGATCGACTGATATGCAACATGACCCTTTCCGGTCAGGTCATGACCTTGACCTGAGGTCAAATTTTCAAGTTGACCTTTCAAGGTCAAGTTATAGTTCATTCGATGCGTCTTGACGAGAGGAACACGATGCCGGTAAAAGTAAGCTCGTACAAGGCTTGGGTCAAAAGTTATTGCAGAAAAACTGTTTTCGAAAAAATCGGCTATTTTTGCAGTTTTTGCCCCCTACAGGCAAAACCGTTGACGTTAGGTCAAATCTGAGAGAATTACTCAGAAAGGGCGTTAATAGGGCTATCGAATGCGCTTTTCCGCGGCGCTGTAGCTCTATTGGTTCCCGAGTTATGCGTTGGCTTCTTGGAAATTTTTGACATTCGACCTGGAAATCGGCGAAATTTTGCCTTCAATGACCTCTGGTGACCTGACCTTTGACCTGACCAAAAAATTGACCGAAGTGATTTCGTCATTATTTTTTACGCTCTTTCGAACGCCGCCTTCCGCGTATCGCTACGTGGCCCAGGAGCCGAGTTACAAGGGGGGGTGTTCAAACACCCCCCCCCCCAGCAGGGCGTGGAAATCCAGGACCCCCAGCAGGGCGCGGGTTAAATCTTCCACATGACCTGTCAAGCCAGGTAAAGAGGGTGATTTTTTTCTTAAATGTTTTCTTCCCTTTTCGTTTTCCTTTGTGACCCACAACCGCTAATTCAGGGAGGGCAAGCTGCCCCGACGGTTCCTAGCCCTATGAAAAGTTGTGGGGCAGCACCCCCACGGCCCCAGAGTTGTGGGGGCAGGCTGCCCCCACTGACCCCCAGCTCCCGCGCCCATGACCACAAAGTTCAGGCCCATGGCCCGGCGTCGAGCTCAAATTAAGACTCGGCAATGTTGATGGTGTGTCCGAGTTCAGACAAGCTGAGCTTATGCTGGGTTCAGCTAGGACGATTGAAGAGGTATCCTGTTGGGCTAAATGCCGGACAATCTCAAGCTCTAATTTTGCATTTAATGCTTAATTATCCTACTATGTTGAGTGAAAACTACCAATGTGTTATTAAGTATAACTTCAAATAGTGGGTTTAGTTAGTGACATATGGTGGAGCATTAGGGGTTTTAGGGGTGCACATGCACCCCCTAACTGAATAAAGCACCTTCTCAAAATGACGCTGGAAACACTTCAAAAACAAGTACAGGTAAGGGGAAATTGTGTCATCCTCTGTTAACCCTCCCCCATATAGGGGGAGGGGTCGAACAGACCCCACCCCCCTCGGTTTTTCGCGAATAACTCGCGTAAAAACGGCTAATCGCGACGAAACTTTCAGTACCCTCGAGTTAATCAATTTTGCATCTACCCTAAAACTTTAATTACCCTGACCCAAGTGACCTTTGACCTGTGACCTATTTCTCGAGACCATGTTTGGCCGGGATCGCGATTCGGCGTATGTTGGCTCGCATTAGCCGCGCGTTTGCAGTCTTTTCGTGGTTTCAAGCGTTCAAACATGTGATATGATGTTGGTCCCATGCATTTGGATGGGTGTGAAGGTCACCTGAAGGTCAGGTCAGGTCATTGACCTTTGATGACCTCAGTTCACATTTTCGAGTTTTACATGTTTCTAGGCTAGTTTTTGGAGCTGAACTCGAATTCAGCAACCATTTGAACATTTACGAAGTACTTTTGGTGCCTTCGTAACATGTTACGAAGCTGTCAGAGGAGGTTGACACGTACTACGAATACCCGGCAGGACCACTACTGGTTGACCTGACTCGACCTGGCCTAAATGCATGAAGACATCTTCTGGGATCAACACTAACACGATATTCGTGATCAGCACCCCGGAAAACCTCAGCCACATTTACGACGCTCTAACAGGTCCCAATTTTCCCGACTTTTGGGTCATTGACCTGACCTGGAAGGTCAACCATGAACCAATGACCTAGAACCTTAAATTGGGTATCATCGTCTTCCTCTCGTCACGGGCAGCACGCTCGTTTTTTTTTTTTCGCGAAGCTCTAGCTCGATCAGCGGCCAAACGGCAATGGGGGCAACGCCCCCCCCCCCCATACGTTCGCGGCTGACAAAACGCCACTACGGGCGAGGTTTAAATCCATATACATTCAGGCATGAGACAAGATAGCTCCTGGTTAATAGTGTTAAACCGCGCCCTGCTGGGGGGTGTTTGAACACCCCCCTTGTGGTTTTTCGCGAATATCTCAAAAACGGCGGCGCGGAGCGCCGCCGTTTTTGGTACACCTTATCATACATTAATTCTACACATGTTGTGAAAATTTCAGACCAAGGTCATTCAAGGTCAGGTCACCAGGTCACTTGAAGTGACCTCACCTCATAAAAAGTTTCAATGTCTTTCATAGCTACACCGAGTGACCGATCGCTTTGAAACTTTCAGCGATTGCTAAGAGCAATAGCATGTACAAAATGTATATCTCAGAATTTCGATATCGATGACCTAAGGTCAGGTCAATTTTGCGACCTCCCCATTATAAGTCAATGGGAGAAAATTGAAATGCGCCTCTTTTGGATGAAAGACATTATAAACACTCCCAAACACCGAATTACAAGTGGTTTAGACACACTGAACATGAAAATGGTGTCCGTGACCCTTGTTTATGCCCTGAGGTCATCTTAGGTCACGAATGGTATCTAACAGTTTTTCGCAAATAACTTTTGATAGAGGCATACTAGAGCGATGAAAACGCCTTAGATGTGTTCAGCTCGACGATACGGATCGACTGATATGCAATATGACCCTTTCCGGTCAGGTCATGACCTTCACCTGAGGTCAAATTTTCAAGTTGACCTTTCAAGGTCAAGTTATAGTTCATTCGATGCGTCTTGACGAGAGGAACACGATGCCGGTTAAAGTAAGCTCGTACAAGGCTTGGGTCAAAAGTTATTGCAGAAAAACTGTTTCCGAAAAAATCGGCTATTTTTTCAGTTTTTGCCCCCTGCAGGCAAAACCGTTGACGTTAGGTCAAATCTGAGAGAATTATTCAGAAAGGGCGTTAATAGGGCTATCGAATGCGCTTTTCCGCGGCGCTGTAGCTCTATTGGTTCCCGAGTTATGCGTTGGCTTCTTGGAAATTTTCGACATTCGACCTGGAAATCGGCGAAATTTTGCCTTCAATGACCTCTGGTGACCTGACCTTTGACCTGACCAAAAAAATGACCGAAGTGATTTCGTCATTATTTTTTACGCTCTTTCGAACGCCGCCTTCTGCGTATCGCTACGTGGCCCAGGAGCCGAGTTACAAGGGGGGGTGTTCAAACACCCCCCCCCCAGCAGGGCGTGGAAATCCAGGACCCCCAGCGGGGCGCGGGTTAATGAACTATGAGGAAGCTTCAGCTATTAAGAAGCTTCTGAAATCTCTCAAGCTGAAGTTGATTATTACGAGCGAGCGAGCGCAGCGAGCGAAGTGAGTCTTTTCAATATAACGGAAAAATCTCAGTATGAGCGGCCCGGCCCGGCCTGTAACGCTTTTGAGAGGCTTATATCTCAGCAACCGCTGGACCGATTGGCCTGCGGTCTTTTTTGTTGGGTAGCCCCATCCCTTCTACCCCGTAATTGACTACTTTTGATACATCTCAGTGACCGTCGTGGCACGTGCCACGTGAAAAGTCAAGGGTGTTCAAGCTGTTTTGCAAAAGTAGTGATTTTGAGAGGCTCATATCTCAGTAGCCGCTTGGGCGATTGACTTGCGGTAATTTTTGTAGGGTAGCAGCATCCCTTCTACCAAAAATAGGATACTCTTGATGTATGTGGGTCAACCCCAGTGCACGTGCAAAATACAACAATAAGAGGTGCCAAATTTGTTCCCATTTCAGTAACTCGGTAATTACTG